CAATCAACCGACACTACCATCTGAAACGTTCCCAATCATCTTCATCCATACTTCCTTCGTCAGGTCATCGTTGCCGTCGTTGGGATCAAGTTCAATTTCTGCTCAGTAAAATCTTGCAACAATAAGTATCCTCGTCAATAGTTTGTGGAACCGGTGCTAGAAAAAACTTTTGTTGATAAACATTAATATCGACATTCTTATGTATTTCATGAGAAACGACTTTTCTCGGTCTAATTGTGCAAGCACAAACCAAGGAGATATTCTCTGCTTTGTTGATATTCTGCGTAATAAACTTGGGCAGCTTGTTGAGCAAAAATGAATGGCTCGTTTTTCTGATATACTCGCGCATGATTCACATCGAGTAAGTTGTGTATGGCATCTTTTCTCACCCCCCTCACGGGATCTACCCAAGTGCATCGCAATAACTACAATCGATAACTCATTTGCACCTGCAAATTTCATCTCTAGTATCTCATCAACATATCCAAAAAAGTCAGTCTCTGAGTTATCATAACTGCATGTTGGGACACACACTCCACTGTTCATTGTGGGTTTATTGTTTCCATAGGCTCGAGTGTGATATTTGTAACCATTGACAAAATAGACATACCAACATTTCACTAAAGATTTGGGCCCCCATGCTAGTGACTCCAAAAAAGGATCCATAGTCCCGGTGGCAGCTTCACTCAGTATCTGGGACAAATGTCAAATTAGCTTATTTTATAAAATACTCGGACAAATAATGAATTTTATCAAATAGTGTAATGATGTACATACCGTCTCCTTGAATCATCTTGCAAAGTTAGTGTCGATGTAACGATCAATGTCCTCATTCCCGTAACCGGAACTGGAAAGATGTTCTCTGAAGTCACTGCAATGTAGAATATTATATATGTATTAGTAAATACTTAATGAACAATAAAGTGATAGTTAATAATAAGTTCACGCACTTGTAATACGGAATAACTTCAGGACAATTCACCAAATGTAGGTGTGTGCAATTCGGATCTCATCTCCAACAACATGACAATGTCTTCGTCTACCATAACCTTTGCCGGGATAGTTGAAAATCGATACCACTTTTTCATACAATCCCTCATCAATGTCATCATTTCTAGCTGGTTTCTTTCGTCTGGTAATCACATCTCTATCAAAATAGAAAGAAGAGAATGTAGAAACCTCTTCCGTGAGGTATGCTTGACAGATAGAAGCTCCGACGTGAGCTTTATTTGTCACTTTCTTTTTCAGTTCCCGCAAAAACCTAACAACATTGAAGAAATGTTGTACATCTCAAAGCTATACATCCATCTATAAAATGGCGGACCTCCTTTTCTAGCTTCCAATGGAAGATGGATAAGTAGTGCTCCATTTCATCAAAAAAGGATGGAGGAAACACTTTCAAGATTACACATTATAATGGGAAGGTTGCGGTGAAGCTCCTCAATAGCTTTTTTGTTTAGCACAGGCGAACATATTAACTGATAAATTTGGGTGACACATTAAGCCTTCTTCTGTCTCATGCTCGACATGCCACGTCATGTATATAACGATTATCCGTGCCAAATATCCGTTTCTTTAATGAAGTTTTTTGGTACTGATAATAAAATCACTATTTTAAAAACTACGTTTTAAAACTAGTGTGTGAATTAATTTAATGCATGCTATTATACAATATTAAGAGATGATTAAAAATCAATCTAACTAAAGAATTAGAGCTTAATTAAGTTAAAAAATTATAATAAGAAAAACATACCTAAGAACAGACACAAAATATAAATTCTTCCGAGAAAATCCAATGCACAATGTTCGCTTCAACATGCACATTGAATGTTCTCTTTGCAAATCCGTATTCATCATTCTATATCATTAACTGAAGAAAAATTGAGTGTGAGTACAAAACTAAAAATGGATAGGTATTTATAAATAGTGTTAGGCACGGACTTAGGCACGGACTTGGCACCATGCTAATCTACCTCCCAATGGCCACATTATTGGCTCGACAATTTGGCACGTCTACGACAATGATAACGTTTTGACACGGTTTTAGGCACGGCATTAGGCACCCCTAGACAACGGTTGTATTTTGGCACAACAAATTGGCACGGCCATGGCACGGCCTGGCTAACGGTAATATTTGGCTCCGAACATAGGTACGGATTTGGCACGGCATAGGCACAACATATGCACGCCGACATCAACAGTAACATTTTGGCACCACAATTGGCACGACTATGGCTTAGTCATACTAATGCCGTGCCAAGGTTATAACGACAACATTGCCGGGTTTCACATCCGTTTACTTCGGGACGGTATTTGCACAGACATTGATATGCCGAAGTTGGCACGACTCGCGCCGTGCCAAATGTGGAGCCAGTTAATATGCCCACAATCTTTGGGACGAAGTTGTGCCTATTGGTGTGCCAAACATGGCACACATGCCATACGTGCCAATTTGCCGTGCCAAAATCGCGTTTTTTTGGTAGTGATAACAACATAACATTATGATTAGTATACATGTAAATATATAAAGTTCAAATTTTGCTACATTTTAAAATTAGTATTAGTATTTGATATTGGTATATGTACAAATCACATTAGAAGTTCTATTACTTCTATTGAAATACCAAAGTGGAATTCGAACATGATAAAAATTCAGTTTCAAAAGATGAGCGAGAGTTCTCAATTGGATCCAATTGGATCAAATCCTAACTTAAAACTTCCTTTTTAAGTGAAATTGATGGGGAGGGGTTCCCAAGATGAACTTAACAAAATGTTTTATAAATGCTTAGTCTGGCATTAGGTAGCAGGATGAGTTTTAGAATTTGGTAAGAACCTTTAGGCAATTATCAATCATGGGTTCTTTTGGGAGTTGTGCTAGCTTAGAAATTGGTAGAATCTTGAGCTAAGCTAAGGCTCAGTTTTGCACAGAGGTACGTACATCGGTACATAGATGCTACGGCGCCACTTAGGGTCTGTTTGCAACCCATTAAAAAAAAGTGATTTTAACTTTTTTTTAAAAAGAAAACACTTACTTTACCAAACACTACCAACTTTTACTTTCTCGGCTTTCGTGTAGAATCTACTTTTCATTTTTTCTATTACACAAAAAGCACTTATTTTACCAAACACTACCAACTTTTACTACTAATCACTTTTCCCCAAAAGTGTTTTTATTTAAGCAGAAGTGGTTGCAAACAAAGCCTTACAATTTACATCTCAAAAAAGATTTAAAAGTGGTTCTTCAGAGAACAGAATAATTAGTTAATTAGTTCAGCAAAGTCAAGAACACCTGATTTAAAAGCAATGTAATATGTTTAGACTAATAGTCTCAAAATGAAAAATCCAGCCTCAATTTAGATAGTGGGCATGTCGCCTATCTCAACTGATTTTATCACAATTGTAGACACTATTTACCATGCCCAAATGACTCTTTTGATAAAACACATCTCATATTCCTTTCATGAATTAGTTTGGTCGTGTAACAATAGAAAAAACATAATTGAAATAACATTATATGACATTTACAGATTACAATGCTGGTTGGCATCAAGTTACAAGTGATCATCACAAAAATGGGGCTAAGGATTCAAGATAGATATGAAATTGTAAAGGGGGTTCCTGTGGTTGAACCGGACGATGACCTATTCTGGTTCAATAGTCCTCGACTATTTCTGTTTCTCATTAACTTTATTCTCTTTCAAGTATGTGATGTATATGTCTGTGTATGTGTGTGGATTACCTAAAAAATTTCACTATCAGATTCTGAAATTCTAACCATGAACTAAATCAATCACTGCAGAATGCATTCGAATTCGCCTTCTTTGTTTGGACTTGGGTAAGCATATGGTAATTACTCCAAATATTTTACCGTCCAAAATGAATAGAAAATATAACATTGTTTAATTTGTGTTTAAGGATATTATCTATTCGTATGATGATAAACGATAGATAATGAAACCTCTTATTTTTGGGGGGTGTTGTGGGGATTGGTTTTCTAGTATACATTTGGGCTGGGATCGTGTTTCCTTGAGCATGTGGAGGATATCATTATCAGATTGACAATGGGGTAAGTTTATATCTCAAATAAAAAGTTTGATTTATTTCTAATGTACAATTAATGTTAATAACTTGTCATTATTATGTCTTTGCAGCATTCTTGTACAAGTCATATGCAGTTATGATACCCTGCCTCTCTATGCCATTGTAACACAGGTAAAAATAGTCTCTAAATGCCTATTAAAAATAGTTTCATGTATGAAGTAATCCTGCTGCCTGCATCGACCAAATAATAAAATGCAAAACATTATAATTTCATAGGTTGAGGAATCAACCTTGACCCTTGACCAGAAATCCTATGTTTGAGGATTCACCCTTGACCCTTGAGAGAGTAAATAGGAAGGCGCACGAACAACCCCATAAGTTTCTAACATCATCTATACAAATTAAAACAAAAATTCTGTTGGGTTTTTCCTTTGTTTTTGACCCATGAGGAAAGCCCAAGTTTTGAGCCCATTAAAAGTCTTCTTTGACTTTCTTTTTGGGAGCTAATAATAGAATATGGGTTAGCTACTATCTCAATACATGAGGACAGAAATAGAGCAGCAGAAAAGAGAGAACAAGTCACAAAACATGAGCTGAAATGCTCATCCCGTTTTTCAGCAGGCAGCAGCAGAAAAATTCCGTTTCCTGGAGATTGAACCGTTGGATCGTCGTGATTTTTGGACAGCAGCTTCACAGCATCTGGGCCAACATTCTGGACGGTGGAGATCGGGTTTTGAGGTCCGGAGGTCGGGTTTCGTTGGTCTGGACAGTAGCTATTTTTCTGGTGATATTTTTCTTATCTTGGCTCTATTTGATTCCATACACCTTGATGTGCTTACTTCCAAGGATATGATGATTTTGTATGCCTCTAGTATTATCTAGAGAAGACTTTGTACTACTCCTTTGATGATGATAGTGGATTTAAGTGGCCAAAATGGTCCCGTGGTTTTTCCCTAGTTAACGGGTTTTCCACGCTAAAATTCCGGTGTTTGTGTGTGGTGTGTGCTTACTGTTTTAGTTGATTATATTGGTGTGTGGCAGCAATATTGTGTGTGTTCTAATTGCATTAAGAACACCCTATTTGTTTGCATCCTCAAAGGTTCATTCAAGTTGGGGAAATTTTAGCCAAACGGAGATTAATTCCGCATTTTATTAGTTACCGTTTGGGGCTGTTTTTCCCATCAAATTCATCCTTAGCAGATTAAGCGCATCTCATATTCCCAACAAGAAGCTAAAGTATACATTGCCACTTGAGCGAGACTAGCTTGGGGGATACAGGATTAACATTTGGAAGAAACACTCCAATTAAATTCACCTCATAACTCATAAGTGTGAGATGTGATTCACTTGAACTGCTCGTACTTATCAAATGTTAGTATGTTACTACTAATATACAGAGTATTTGTTTATATCAAAAGTGATTTTTGTATATAAATTTTGTCAAACACTATATTACATACACCGTAGTCCGTACTATGTAGTACGGATGTAATCCTCTCAAACAAGAATTTCAGATAAGAAAAGAATAACTCAATGATATCAATTTGTATATAGATATTTAATTTCTACATATGAGAAAAAAAGTTTTTACAAATACATCTGATCTATTCATTTAGTCACTGAAATTGTATATCTGAATATGTGGAGTGAGGGAGTGTGTGTGTGTGTACATGGCTGTAATGTGATGTAAAAAATGTCTATAGATGGGCTCAAAGATGAAACCTGCAATTTTCAACGAGAGGATAGCAATGGCATTAAAGCGCTGGCACCGCGCAGCGAAGAAACGAATTAAAGACCAGAACAATATTAAAGACAGTAATTTGGTGGCTTTGGTATCAAGCCGACCAGGAACACCTCCAAACCATAGCATATCTCCAGTGCACCTCCTTCATGGCCAAGGTCCATATTTAAGCGAAATGGACATTATGAGTAGAGGTTCAATCAACTATGCAAGATAAATTTGATTTTCGATGAATTAATTGAGCATTAGGACCGGAGTGATGAGAATGGTGGCGGCTCCAGCCCAGCATCGAACGGCCATTACCAAATGTACCATCTTCTTATTTGAACGTGACATTGCACCAACATGGTGATAATAATATTGTAGAAAAGAAATTTGATGATCACTGCAGCAACTTGAGACCAATAACAACAACAACAACATCCAAGCCTTAGTCCCAAATGATATTGAGGTCGGCTAACATGAATCGATATATGATATCACATTATCACCAAAAGGAAAGGAAGGAAACTAAAGATAAAAAAGATAAGCTATTATAAAAAAAAAGATAATATAAAAGAGATGAATATACATATAAAAGATCAAATAAAAAGGATAAGGTAATATTTATATATAAGGATAAAGATATAAAAGAAATAGAAAAAAAAAGAAGAAGAAGAAGAAAAAAAAAGATGATACAAGATCACTCCTCAACACGAATACCCGCCCTCCATTTTGCTCTCTCCAAAGCCATACCCTCATCCAATCCAAGAAGAAGCATATCACTTCTGACTCCCCTAACCCACGTCTGTTTGGGCCTTCCTCTCCCTCTCTTCCCTACCTCTTCTCCACACATCTCAACTCGTCTGACAGGTGCATCACTCGGTCTTCTATGCACATGACCAAACCACCGTAGGCGTGACTCCCGCATCTTATCTTCAATAGGTGCTACTCCCACCCTTTGTCTAATTGTCTCATTCCTCACGCGGTCCTTTCTAGTATGTCCACACATCCAACGCAGCATGCGCATCTCTGCCACACTCATCTTTTGAATGTGACATTGTTTCACCGCCCAACACTCCGTGCCATACAATAATGCCGGCCTAATTGTTGTCTTATAAAATTTACCCTTCAATCTAGTCGGCATACCTCGATCGCATAGAAATCCTGATGCACTCTTCCACTTCATCCACCCTGTTCTGATTCTATGGGATACATCTCCATCTAACTCACCGTCCTTCTGAATTATGGAGCCCAAATAACGGAACATATCGCTGACTGGTATCTCCTTACCATCTAAAGTAATTCCGCTATTACCACTGCTTCTACCTCCACCAAACTTGCACTCCATGTACTCTGTCTTGCTCCTACTTAGTCTGAAACCCTTGTTCTCCAATGTCTGTCGCCATACTTCCAACTTTGCTTTAACCCCTGATTGCGTCTCATCAATCAATACAATATCGTCGGCAAACATCATGCACCACGGTATATCGTCTTGAATTGACTTTGTAAGTTCATCCATGACTATGGCAAATAAAAAAGGGCTAAGAGCCGATCCTTGGTGCACTCCGATAGTAATAGGGAACTCCGCAGTCCTCCCTACACTAGTACGGACACTTGTAGTACAATCCTCATACATATCCATGATGATGCTGATATACTTGCGTGAAATGCCTTTTCTAGTTAAGGCCCACCAAAGAACTTCTCGAGGTACCCTATCATATGCCTTTTCTAGGTCAATGAACACTAAATGCAAATCCTTGTGAGCGTCTCTATACTTCTCCATAAGTTGCCGAAGAAGGTTAATAGCCTCAGTTGTTGAGCGACCAGGCATAAAACCAAATTGATTCTCTGAGATCTTCACCGTTCTTCGAAGTCTTTGCTCAATCAATCGCTCCCAAAGTTTCATGGTATGACTCATAAGTTTAATCCCCCGATAGTTGGCACATTCTTGTACATCACCTTTATTCTTAAATAAGGGAATAAGAGTACTCTTTCTCCAACTCGTTGGCATCTTGTTTCTCCAAATTTTGTTGAAGAAATTTGTTAACCACCCAATGCCTCTCTCTCCCAAACTTCTCCAAGCCTCGATCGGTATGCCATCTGGACCCACTGCTTTCTTCCGCCCCATCTTCCTCAAAGCCTCTTTAACTTCCGTTGGTTGGATCCTTCTCACAAAATCACGATTTACCATACAATCTGGTATGGTCAAATCATCGATATCTTGCACTTTGTTCCCGTTGAACAATGTATCAAAGTATGATCTCCACCTCTCTTTTATCTCTCCGTCCTCCATTAATATCCTTTGATCAACATCCTTCACACACTTAACTTTTCCGATATCTTGAGTCCTGCGATCACGAAGACGAGAAAGTCTATAGATCTCTTGTTCTCCTTCCTTAGAGTCCAATTTTTCATACAACTCCTTGTTCACTTTCCCTTGTGCTTCTTTTACGGCTTTCTTTGCTTGTCTTCTAGCCTCCTTGTAAGCTTCTATGTTCTCATCACTCCGACTTATTCCCAACTTTTTGTAGCAATCTCTTTTGTTCCTTATGGCTTGTTTCACCTCATCATTCCACCAAGACGTGTCCTTTTTGGGTGGCAAACATCCTTTAGATTCCCCAAGTACCTCCTTTGCCACTTTGTTAATGGTCAGCTCCATCGATAACCATGCATCCTCCACCTGTGTTCCATTATCAATACGCCATACATCTTCACCGAACATTTTGTGTGTAAAGCTTTGTTGAAGATCCCCCTCAAGCCTCCACCACTTTATCTTTGGCTCCACTTGTTGCTTAACTTGTCTTCTATGGTTCTTACCTCGAAAGTCGAGCACAAGCATCCTATGCTGAGTGACAACACTCTCACCTGTGATAACCTTACAATCGGTGTAGCTAGTTCTCCAAGTAGTACGTACTAAGAAGTAGTCAATTTGGGTACTATTAGCTCCACTTCTATAGGTTACAAGGTGAGAGTCTCTTTTCCTAAACCAAGTGTTCATTATAGCCAACTCATACGTTGAGGCAAAATCCAAAATGTTCTTTCCCGCTTCATTTCTAGTGCCAAAACCATGTCCGCCATGAATACTCTCAAAGCCATCACGAATCGAGCCCACATGCCCGTTGAGGTCGCCTCCTATGACCAACTTCTCTCCTCTTGGCACTCGTCGCACCACATCTTCAAGATCTTCCCAGAACTGTTGAGTTGTAGATGCATCCAATCCCACTTGTGGTGCATAGGCACTTACCACAGACACAATCTCACCCCTCATCACCAATTTAATGCTCATGATGCGATCGTTCTTCCTGAAGACTTCTACCACATCCTCAACATAATCACGTGCCACAATAATGCCTACGCCATTCCTGGTCTTATCTCTCCCCGAATACCACAACTTAAAACCTCCGAGATTAATCTCACGTGCTTTCTCTCCAACCCATTTAGTTTCTTGCACACACATAATGCCGATATTCCTCCTCCTCATAACTTCGACTACCTCGGAAGATCTGCCTGTAAGAGACCCAACATTCCACGTCCCAAAGCGCAATCTAGCACTCCACCTTCTGTTCTTAGCCCCGCCTCGGACCCCACCACGCCCTTGCATATTTGACATCATCCTCGGGCAATGGGATGACGCGCCGCTTCCGGGCGACGATCTAGCAACCTTAACATTCTTATCACCACACCCAGGCCTATGAAGTGTAGCGCGCCCTTGCATATTTGACACCACCCCCAGGCAGAGGTATGACGCGTCGCTTACGGGCGACGACCTAGCTATAACGATATTCATATTTCGATTCATGTCATGTGATGTGACTAGGTAATACTGTTGGCCGTCACGCGCCTACCACAGCACCCTCCTCCTTTATCCTGGCTTGGGACAGGCATGAAACCAAAAAAAATTGATCTCATGGCGGAGTTCAATATGGAGGGAAAATCCCATTTTCCTTGTTAGAAGATTGGACTGAAGTACTAATGAAACTTGTCAACAGTTTCTTGTAAAGAATAAAATGCCATTTGTCAAACATTGGAGCAAACCTGTTGTGTTTTTCACCTATACCCGATCTGTTGTTTCTTGAACACTTAATATGATCTTCTTTTCCTCTCTAGTAATTTCTAATTGTTCCAATAACCCACAATTTCCACTATACACATACGCATGGGAATCGATGCCGTCCTGAGAGATAGAGTACTGGAGAAGAGATGAGTGAGATATCCCCCGATAAAAATATGATTGGGTGACAATGTGACATGGATGCTAACAGTTTCATCCCTGCCCTACTTCAACATTATTAAATAGATTATAAATACAGAGTAATTAATATATAGACTCATACAACCATATATTAGGAAGCAAAATAAAAGGGGTAGAAGTACATTTAAAAGTTGAAAAGGGCAGGGAATGGATGGGGAGAGGAATAGAGGATTTAAAAAAAATTAAAATAATAAATAAATTAAGACCAAGGGACCTGCGGTTGAACCGAAACTGGAAATACAGGTCATCACATGCCACATTATTTCTTTTTGAGACCTAACTGGGACCATGCCCATGCCCATGCCCAGCTATAAAGGTGGATTTTGGGCAAATGTGGTATGGTTTGGTTCCTATAGCTACAAGCATCTCAATCAGCCATAGATAGGAGAGTGAATACTTGTTGGTATGTTGAATCCTAATCGTATACCGATATACCAAATCCAAATTGGTTCAATTCCAATGCGTGTTCAAGACATGTTTCTTGTCCAATTTTAAAAATAGAACCAAAACTGATTCAATCTAGTCCTATTTTCGAAGAACCAAAAACAACACGGATTTAGAGGGGTTCCTTGCTGGAACTATTTTCAGGTCTGTTGCGATCTAATTCAACTAGTCTCCTCATCTCCTGGATATTGTCTGTGGCCTCATGGGGTATTCCTTGTTAGATTGTTAGATTTGCACTTTTGTACAAGTGTTTTCGGAATATTTGTGGATCCCAAGTTCCAAGAACAATCATTTGCCTTTCCAGATGGAAACAAGTCATCATCATTCAAATGCAAGTCTTCCAATAATTAAATACAGTGTCACTAAAAGCGATTCGAAATGAGATCAATTTTGCGTGCCTCGCTAAAATATACTGCTATCACATAACACTAGGCAGCACAAGTTTGCACCTTCTAAAGTATGCTTGTTACATGACATTTTTTACTAAATCAAAACCGTTGGGCATTTTGAAATTCGCCTTAAACTATTCCAAAAAATGACTTCTGAAGCTAGAAGGGATTTTGACTTTCCCTATTAACATGTGCAGCACCTTGCAGTTTGTCAATCTTCTGGTTTCGCATCAAGAATGGCAAGAATGTCCAGGGCTGATGAACCAAGGTGCAAGCCTCGCACTACCCCTCCATACCCAACCTTTATCCTATAGCATAGAATCAATATCGAGTCCCATACTGCTGTTCTCCCCTGAATTAATTAATGTTGCACAAATGTCAGTGTTAGCCATAGAGGGCCAAATACAAGGGTATAATGTTTAACCTTTTGGAGAGCCAGTTTACCACAAATACTAATTATTGTCACTGCACTGGCTCTAAAGTCATAGAAGTATAATATAATACAAAACAAAGACCTACTCATTCATAATTAGGGCGCTTAAAATGTAGGAGGCAACACTTGCCTGTAAAGAGAACTGAGGCTTCTTGTCCCAAAAGAGTGCAAAAACAGGGGGGCGTTGTTTCCCAACAGCCAAAACACAAGCTCCTATATGGAGCACAGAGGGTACACCCGAAACAACAGCTATATACTTTTCTGGAAACCGTTCTTTAGGAGGAAGAATACCCACAAACAAGGGGTTCTTGCTTGATTGAGACCCGGCATATGAGGTAGGATCAACATGCAGCATCCATTTTGGGTGTTCCAAGAAAGCACAGAAGAGATATAGGAGAAGGTGTGAATCTGTAGGAACGTCACTCGTCCACTTCTTTGAATTGTCATATATCTCTCCCAGATACTCGTACTTCTTCACACACGACCCTTCAGCAAGATCTGGCATATTTCAGAGGATAAGGTTATGTTTATTTTACCTGAAATTATAAAAGAAACTTACTCTACGAGAAAAAGGTCAATTGAGTACATCAACTTGTATGAGGTGGACTAAAGAGTCTACTATGTTGCATTTGACATTCATAAGTACATAAACTTGATTATTTAGTGGCTTCAAAAAAAAACTTGATTATTTAGTGTTAATTGAGTACACTCGTTAGATTAACACATTAATATGACTGAGTTGGCTAACAAAATGTTGAGTAAGAAGGGGTAATAGAGCAAGGTTATGACGCCGACCTTCACGAAGTTGACCAAAAAGGAAAAATTGATGTTCGGAGGTCAAGTTGCGGGGGGGGGGGGGGGGGCATCAGATAGCAGGGGTGCATCGACCAAGGGGAGTCGACCTGCGGGGGACTGACGTCGACAAAGGGGAAGTCGATCAAGAGGTTGAGGGCTGTCGTCGACCTTCAAGAAGTTGATTCATTAACATTTTGTTAGCCAACTCAGTCGTATTAATGTGTTAATCTAACAGGTGTACTCAATTAACACTAAAAAACCGAGTTTGTGTACTTAAAAAGATCAAATGCAATTTAGTGTACTCTTTACTCCACCTCATACAAGTTGATGTACTCAATTGACCCTTACCTCCTTAATCTACGTATTCTTTTATTGCACTTCCACAAACCATGCATTATTGCCTACTTTATTAAAAAAGTGGATAATATCACAAACTGCAATCTATAAACAGAAAAAAGATTGTGTTATCAAAGCCCTTTTATCTTATTATTTCATTTGCTGAAAGTTATCAAATACTACGTATGAAATGATCAAAATGAAATGAAAATCAGTATACCTCGAATTCTACGTACTGTATAACCTGCACGCACAGTACTTTGTGTTAGCAGACCCTTTCCCCATTCTCCTTTCATCAAAGTAAGAAGCCTCTGGTGCTCAGTTATAGCATTGATGCACTCTTGCACAGCAGGGATCAAGGTGGTCTGCTCTGGGGATTGTTGCAAATTGCCAGAACTCAACTTTACTGAAATGAAAATCCACAGAAGATACCAAACATACCCAATGAAATAAAAAACAATAATACCATTTAACAGCATAAAAATAACAATCTCTCTATCCCATTATAAAAGATCATTTCCCTTTTATGCTGTCAATCCAATTTTTTAATATATGTTTTTTGTATCAGCTTTTTATCACATTTAAAATTGCCTTTTTACAGTTTATAGAACTTTTAGGGTACCTTCTAAATATGTAAATTTAATTATTAAAATTAAATTACCAACTTACACATTATTAGGGAAGGGTTAACTTGAATTTCAGTCAAACTTGAAACTTCACAATAAAAATGAAACTTCTGTGGGACGGAGAGAGTATTAATTTATTCTTTATTAAAAAACGAAGAGAAGAAACTCACACATGTAAGAATCAAGAGTTTGAACAAGATTGGCACGCAGTTGATGAAGAAGACCATCCTCGTCAAGGGTAAATGAGGATTGCCACTCATTACTCATTGCAGATGCGGAGGCAGTAGTACTTCCAGTACCTGAGGTTTCACTTCCCAACTGACTGACAGTGATGGTAATTCCTAATTTAGCAGCTGCTTGCATGACCTATCAGCAAGGTAAAAAGGCACGATTTAGAGCTCACAAACATAAGCTAAATCAGAAAATAAAGATGGGGAAAAAATATAGAGTACGAAGTGATGAGGTAGCACACCTTAAAGTGACTGGTATCAATTTTGTCAAGCAAGGGGTTGAGCAACATTTTTGAAAACCACTGCCTAAGATGGTCACGCCATAGTTCAATTTGCGGATATATACCAAGATGTTCAAAGGCTTCAACAGATTCCTCCATTGACATAGGAAGAGGTAGATCATTCTCCCCTTTTTTTGGAGGAGTAGTGAACTTTTGTGATCCAGGGGACATCCTAACTGGCCTTAAAGGAGTACTTCTCGGAGTTCCAGAAGCATTGGCTGAAGTGGGTATGTTACTAGGACTGACTACACCAAAACTACTTATGGTAGGCGAAGGAGTGGATAGTTTACTTGCTGATTCAGAAATTTTGTCATCCACATCAGCCAAAAACTTCTCAAATGCTTCTTCTGTCATCATCTCTTTGTGAAAAGAAGTTCGTGTGTTTGACCACGGTGAAGTCTGCAGGGAAGGAGATTGTGAGGATGTAGGGCCTACACTCAGAGATTGAGAAGCAGGAGACTTTGATGGGGTACCAAAAGTATGTATTTTAGATCCACTACCAGGACTTGATTTCTCACTACTCAGCCTAGCTGAACGACTTGCACTTGAGATTGGCTGATGAAGTGGGACAAGGGCATCTAATGGAGAGACTGTTTTGGACATAGGAGGTTTCTTTGAAGATTCTGCATTGCCTTGTTCAACTTTTTGTTTAATTCCGAGAAGTGCTAGTTGTCGATTTGTCAGCCGCATCTGTTCCTTTGATCCTTTAGACGGTGATGTAACCCTCCATTCTACTGCATTCTTTTTACTCCATAGCAGAATAGCCTTGAAAAGGGCAATGAAAGTTCCAATTAAGATAAAACCAGCAATGCTTTGTACCACTTTGGTAAAAAGGCCTGAGCACAAAAGTTAAGAAAGGGTCAGAGCAATTAATTTCTTTACAATTAGCAATCTAGCATTAACCAAACTGAGAAGAAATTTTGTACATCATCACTTACGAGCAGGGGCATATCCAACTTTCAAAATATCAATAACTCCTTCCCTGAAGTTCAAATTCAAATAAAGCCATTAAGACAACACAACTGAAAATATCAAGAATCTTGTTTTGCGAAAGCAAAAACAAAATCCAATACAGCTACCAGAGTCAATCGCAAAATAGGATATTGAGAAAAACGAACCCCAATACTTCTTTGTTTTTTTTTTTACAAATTTGGTGTAAAGCATACAAGTTTTCCCTTTCAAAACAACAAATCACTAGCCTTCAGCTGACCATAACATTTTTTTGAATGATATTCCCAATGAAATGAGCACCTGGACATGATAAGTAGCAGTACCAGTAGATCGCACACAAAAAAGAATTTGGTTTAAGATCGCAATCAAGAAAATACTCCCTCCGTCCTGATTTAAAGTCCATGTATTCTTTTTCAGGACGCCAATAAATAATCTTTCCTTACTTGGTAAAGAAAATCTCATTTTACTCCATTACCCTCACGTAATAGTGTCAAAATAGTACACTATGCAGTTAAACTTAACCTAGTAAAAAGGCATTTTGGGAAGTCAAAGAAAAAGAATCCTAACTTTCTCAAACTCCGTGAGGGTCAAGGTAAGAACTTTTTATGGGACGGAAGTAGGAATTAATACAATGGAACTCAGGAACAATTTATTGATAGTATGCATCATCGTAGTATAGTTATGAGCTTTCTGAAGTGATATATTAATCTACTAATAAGTCGTTTCATGGCAGTTCCCCTGTTTATCCAAACCAATTGCTAAATTAAGGGCCTGTGTTTATGAACATGAAATATTGAAATCATAAAAAGCTGGTTGGGAGGGCCTGAGACCGGGTTGGCCGCCATAGCAAACTAATGCTTTGTTTCGTTATCAGTGTGTAGCCAGAGTCTCAAAAAACTTGAATTTGGGGCAGGCCACAATGCACCCATTTAAACCGGTTTGGGAGGGCCTGAGACCAGGTTGGCCACCATATCAAAGACTCTTGTGGTTTAAATGCACTGCTGATCATTTGTTAGCATCACTCAGCTAACTAAATTACTAAAATATATTCCGTAATTAAATATTCATACTAACAATTCTGAATCTATCAGTGATGCAAAAAAATATCATTACACTGGCTAAACACAACTATTGCTACCAACACACCCCACAAACTAGGGTTAACAGAGCAAGCTTCAATTCACTATATACACCTGCTGGAGGTGTATTTCTGCAAATATGTCACATAATAAGCTCCTAACGTCTTCACATGACATAATAACTAAATATAAGCCCGTTCTTTTTCATTAACACTAAAAGCAATCTTTTAAGGTCCTAAATTGGTATATAACCCAGATTTAGAGAATCAAGATACAGAAAAGAAGGCAACACAGAATATGACACACATGAACATTATGTTTTGGGAAAACTACAGACGGCATACAACTAAATCGCGCGCAAGCATACCTAGATATGATGCTGAAAAGGCCAAATGCGGAGGCGAAAGAGACAGAGATGAAGAACAGGAATGTTGACTTGGAAGGGAGGAGGCTATTGGAGGTAAGGGCGGCGGAAAGAGCTGGATTTTGATACACCGCGAATTTCGTGGGCCTAGGTGGAGCAGAGCTCTGCTCCTCTCTTACTCCAGCCCCACTTTCCATTCTTTATCCAATAGACGTAACACAGCTCAAAGGTGAGCAATGGCGGTCGACTTTAGAATCTCCATGGAGGATATTAGGATAACGTTGAGGGCTCTATTCCTCTCCTCCTACCAGACGTACGAGTAGCAGCGAACAAGACGAGTGCGGACACTATTGACGCAGGCCAAATTTCATTTTTATCCGTCCAAACAGACTTTGCACAAATTGAGTTAGGCTAGAATTAAGAATATAGTAAAAATTGTGTGGTTGAAGATAGTACAGAGGAGAGAGAAATGGGTAGAACCACAAAATAGTTACTTTAATAGGAAAGTTGAAAAGTCCAATATGATGGAGGAAGTACTTTTTTGGACGGAGGAAGTACAACCAAAAAAAGAAACTTGACAAAGTCCAATAGGACGGAGGAAATACTTTTTTTATCATCAAATCCAACTAATATATTAAATCCAAATAACGTTTGTCACATTGCTGATAATACAATAAAAAAAAAAGTAAACAAAATGATAAAAAGCTTCATGTCTGCCGTCCGCCCTCGAACCAAACTGAGAATCCATCACCTCTGTAGAAGCAATAACATTCGATGATCCTGTAATGGACTTAAATGAGCCAATGACCGGCAAACCAGACTTCTCGTCACCTAACCTAAATTTAAGAATATCTCTATTAGGAAAAAGGAACACGTCCAAAACAACATGCAATTCGATAGAAAAACACAAACTGAATAAAACAGAATTAAAATAGAGTTCACCCATCTTTTTCCAAACCCTAAATTTGCTTGCACTCCATGGCGGCGGCTAAGGAGGGGACGCGCCCACCGCTCATCCACCACAACCTCAACATCAGCTTCATCTAGAATTCTAGATCCAGTTCTTCTTCCTCTACCCCAATCGCCATCTTATTATACTTGTCAACGAAGCTATCCATAACTAGCGACAGACGGAACTTCAAAACGAAGGAACCTAGCAGAAAACAAACGACGATCAACCGCGCTCATAGCAACTACGGTAGACGCAAAATCAGCAACCGGTGCCACGAATAGAGAGGTCGCCACCGGACAATCCCCTAGAAAAAGCCCTAGGCGGCGGCGAAAAAACCCTAGGAAGCTAGAGAGAGAATTCTATCTAAATTTAATACTTCGTACAATAAATTTGTTACTAAAATTGTTTTTCCTTGATAATACTTCGTACAACATATCATAATACAGTTTTTTTATTGACAAAATTCACAAGAATAATTACTACTTTTATGGGTTCTACAATAATCATCCCAACTCAAAGTGTCCATAAACATAATGCATACTAGCAATAGTGTCCATAAGAATAAATTAGATAGATTTCAAATCAATGTCCATTTAATACTCTCAAACCTTACCTCCACTTTCCCATTCATCAGTCTCTGTTTTGATTCACACTTTAATGTTTTAACCTAGATAGAATAACATATGGCGGAAATGATGTTGATATTGAATGAGTTTTAGCTTAATTTTAACCGAAAAGAAGAGTCGGGAGGAGAAACCTAGGAATAAAAATTGAGAGTATTAAACGAACACTAATTTGAATTCACCCAAATTTATTTTCATGAACACCTTTGTTAGTTCTGATTTTTTTGTGGACAGTCTGAGTAGGAATTATGATTGTAGAATCCCTAAAAGTACGAAAACCGAAAAATCACCAACTCTCTCTTCTCTCTAGAGAGAGGGGAACCGTAGCGGCCGTCTCCCCTCTTTGTAGGAGTTGAGAATTTCCGTCGCCGCTATCAATATGGGGTTGAAGCGATAGACTATACTGATTTTAAGTGTTCTAACACTTGAGATTGCAACTACGTTTGAGGAGATAGAGCGTTAAAGGATGAACGAGGTGCGGCTGAGAGGTTGTATCGAGTATGGATCGTGAAGCCTTGGTCAGTCATTCCGACGGTGATGGAGTTGGTATTCACCCATATTGCAAGAGCTTGTCCTCCTCCGGAATCACCTCCATATTAGGAAGAGCTTTGCGTAAAGATTTTATTTCAATATTATTTGCTCTTTAGTTGCAATCGTTTCTGTTTTAGTCCGAGTAGATTTGGTTTGAATGTTTGGATTTTTGGAGTTCTTTTGATAGACGTGGTTTCGGTTAAGGTCGTTTTAGGCCTAAATTTGCCCGTTTCAGGTTTAGCTAGTCATGTTGTTTTGTATGAGATGACTGACTCTAAGTCTACTCCTAGGGTTCACGATTGGATCTGTAAATTCTATCTGAAGGTTGTATTACATGTGTTCTCGATTTTAATATAATGGTCGCTCTTTTATGATAAAAAAATATGTAAATCGACACTAGCCAAGTTTATTACCCAAGCTTTATGCCAAGTTTATTAGCCAAGCTTTATGTGATGTAGGGATTATTGCAGAGTATAAAACTTTTTTTCTACCTTCAATTTATTTTCCAAACATTTCAGACTTTGTTAGATAAATTATTATAATAGTACATTGCCCTAAATAATTGTAAGAGATAATTCTTACCATATAAAACATCCTTCAAGTGTAAAAATACGTTGAAAAAGGAGTGAAGCTAAAATAACCAAACGGGTGTTGGGGTGTTAGGTGTGTTGGAGGTATTGGTCCTACCAAGGCCTCCCTTCCACTTTATTTGTTGAGGCTTGCACACTCTATTTTATTCTCCCTGGGATACCTTTTCTTTGGTATATATCCTGATCAAATATATACCTATTTTGAGTGGTTTGACTTAATCCACTGGCTGGCCCCTTCTCTGCTTCCTGTACGCTGCATCACTTTGTCTTGGCCTATACATGTGACTCTCCTTTGTATTGGTAACATGTGATTGTCTTTTGTCTAGCTTCACCCGTGAACTCCCTTGGCAGCCTATTTGAAGCCTTGCTTCTTCCCTTGTTGAAGCAGCCTGCGTGAGTATATCCTTTGTGTGAGAGAGCAGAGCTCACTTCTTCTTCCTCCTTTGTGTGAGTGTAGAGAGGTCTAAGTGGAGAGAAAAATAAGTGTGTGCTATAGCCTCCTCCTAAGTGTGGTGTGTGAGAGTGTGTGTTGAAAGACCTGAGCCGGAGACGGAATCCGATCCTTACAAGGTGTATACCGTGTATACCAAGATGGATAACAAGAAGAATGTGTTGATCAAGCACTTATCATCTTAGATCACCAACACTTCTTTAAGCTCCTAGCTAAACGCTCACCTAAGTATCTTTAGAGTTTAGTTTCATCTTGATCTATATAACTAGAAAATCACAAGAGCATTCCATGTTCGCCAAATCTTGAATAGAAGACATGACTGAATAGCTTTAAGCAGCAACCTCTTGCTCATAGTGAAAACACCTAAGTAGCATAGATGATGTTTACTCCTCGTGAAAAAGCTACAAATTTAGATTGGCTTCATGATCAAATCAAGACTTGGCACTAGGGGGTATCCTGATTTTTGTATGGATTCTTAATCTGATAGTTGCCTGTTTCCCGTTATTTTGTTTCCCACCTTCACGGACCTTCATCTTCAGGGAGCTTCACCTTCACCCGACCTTTACCTTCACCTTCACCTTCACTTAATCTCTGAATCTTCTTCTACGTTCACCTGCGACTTTCACCTCGCATCTATCAACTTCTACGATCGCTCACCTTCTTCCTTTTGATCGATCACTTGCGACCATCATCATTTCAGAAGTTCGATAACTTTCAGCTTTGATCGTCGTTTCAGTAGTTCGAGTGGTAACCGAATTGCTCACATTGTTGTTAAATTGTTGATTATTAATCATTTTCATTATGTTTGGATTATTTTTTCCTTGTTTTCTGTATTTGTTCTTATTTTTTTGTCTTTACCTACTTTTCATGCCTCTGATTTCATACGCTTTAACTTTCTGCATTTTTTGTGTTGTGACATTTTGTGTAATTGATGTCATTGTTATGAAATTGATGTCATTTGTTATAATTCTAGTTGTCATAGATATGGATAAAATTGTTCTTCTAATGGTTAAAGTTGATGACTTCTGGAATTCCAGGTGTCCCTGTTTTGTATGGATCCTCATATAGTATTTTGTGTGATATATTGATCCATTACATCTTCAAGGGAGGAGTTCAGAGAGATTTTAGGATATCTTATACTGTTGAATCTTGTCCTGCCCCTGTTTTTATTGATGGTGATACAAGCTTTACTTTTTACATGCATTTGAAAACCATACATCCAGATTTCTCAAAGTTTCAGCTTTTCTAAACTCTGTTTTATTATATAAAAGAATAGATGAAATGATAATAACTTATATGCAAATTTTAAATTTAAATTACCATTACACTACATTTTTAAAACTATTAATCATGAATCGAAACCAAACCAAATGTGATTGGGACCAATTTATGTGGAAACCAAACTTTCGTTTCGAGTTTTTGGTTTTATGTAAAAACTGAATGAATATATAGAAATACACGTACAGTACATTAGCAATGTATTAGACTAACATGAGCTTTCAATTTCTTTTGAGCATGAGCATTGATATTCAACTTCCGGTATTCTTATTGAGGCGCACCTTTCGATATTTTTTTTTTAATTGTTAGACCATTTATGAAAATCAGAGTTACTTTTGACGGTCTTTTTCAGACGTTTTTAACGGTGTGACCCTCTTGTGATAACGGAATTCAAACACATCAACCACTTTGATAAAGAATGAAGTGCATGACCTTATTTCAAAATGGGCCCTGCAACCACAAATACTTTTTCTGTAATTTTCCCTTGTTTATATTTCTTAATACAATTATTATATGTCCTCGACGGATCGGAGTCCTATATATCTAATAGTTTTTTAAAATAAAGACAATATGATTGAAATAAAGATAGTGGACAAACATATGACTTAGTAACTACCACACAAATGTTCATGTCCGGAATTCCGGACAGGAACCACCGTCCGGACGGCGGCGTTTGACCGCCTTCCCGGTGGCATTTTTTGATGATATTTTTATGGCATGTTCTCCATCAAGTCTAGTTTATCCACAAAAATATTCATCCAAAAACTCAATCGGGAAGGTCGTCAAATGATTTTTGCAAGTTAACTGATTAGGAAAATACATATTCCGGACCAGTTAACTTGCAAAAATCATTTGACGACCTTCCCGAATGTGTTTTTGGCTGAAATGTTTTGTGCATAAACTAGACTTGATGGAGAACATGTCATAAAAATTTCATCAAAAAATTCTACCCGGAAGGCAGCCAAA